TGTCCCGGTGTGGAGGCTGTGTGTGTGTGTGAGAGAGGATCTCCCGGTGCCGCCTCCCCTCCGGAGACTCACTGCGCCCCCAGCGGCCGAGAGCGGTATTGACAGCCAGCAGCAACAGCGTCACATGACCGGCGACCTGTCATCCCGTCCGGGACTTGCTTGCTGCACCCCGGAGAGCTTCTGCTACTGTACACCCTAATCTGTACACTGTGTGGGCGGGGACACGGAGAGCCTATCACAGATCAGAGACCCCCCCCTCACAGCCAATCACAAATATCCGCCTCGCAGGTCACCACATATAAAGAGAAGCTGTCACAGACATTCCCTCCCAAAGATACAGTAATATCTTCCTCACACATAAAGAGAACCTGTCACAGACATTCCCTCCCTGAGATACAGTAATTTCTTCCTCACATATAAAGAGACCCTGTCACTGACATTCCCTCCCAGAGATACAGAAGTATCTTCCTCACACATAAAGAGACCCTGTCGCAGACATTCCCTCCCAGAGATACAATAATATCCTCCTCACACATAAAGAGAACCTGTCACAGACATTCCCTCCCAGAGATACAATATTATCCTCCTCACATATAAAAAGACCCTGTCACTGGGATGCACTAATACCAGTTTTTCAGTATCAAGTGCGAGTACCGATATTTTGCTTTCAGTACTTGCCGATACCGAATAACGATACCGGTGCTTCCGTTGGCATGGAGCCGGCTTCCCGGGTAATCAGGAAGCCGGGCAGCGGGTAATGACATGCCGCCCGGCTTCCTGATTGCCAGGGAAGCCGGCTCCATGTTGTTTGGTCTGCTTGATGGCAATTAGCCGGGAAACCGGCTTCCCAGCCAAACAGCATTGAGCCGGATTCCCGGCCAATCAGGAAGCCGGGCGCCGAGTAACGACCTGCTTGACCAGGAAGCTGGCTCGATGCTGAATGGCCGGGAAGCCGGCTTCCCAGCCAATCAGCAAGGAGCCGGCTTCCCGACCAATCAGGAAACTAGGAGGCGGGTCATTACTCGCCGCCCAGCTTCCTGATTGCATGGGAAGCTGGCTCCATGTTCCCCTACGGCACTGCCGGTCAGAGGAAATCTTCCTCTGAGTGGAAGTTCCGGTATCGGGGAAGGTATCGGAGCATTTGGGTAAGTACTCGCCCAAATACTCGGTATCGGCACCCATACTAGAAACTGTGCATCCCTAATCAAAACCGTATTTGACTGTGCTAAATAGCGCTTCTCACTGGTCAGCTCAGTCATCTGACCATGCCGACCAATGAGTGCTTGCAATTTGCGAGGAAAATTCTAAATGCATAGGGCAGGACTGCGCTGGACAGCAGTACGGGGTGCAGATTGTTCACCTGTACTGGCGAAGGGTAAGGACTGTGCGCCGAAAGGTATAGCGGGGAGGGGGGGTTGGAAGAGACGGGGCCAGATTTCACCGGGTAATTCCCTTTTCCCATATTACCTTGGAAAGTGAACTTACTCTTTAATGTACATTGTGTGTGTAAGAGAGTTCTGCTGCCTGGCTACCACAATATGGCACACAGTGGAGAGGCGGCAGCATGGGCACAATGTCCTACGCGTGTGTTTATTTGCATGCAGATGGCGGGGGCTGCGGGGTTGGTTTTAATTTTTTTTATTTTATTTTATACTTTACCACTTTTATTTTTTACGTTTTTATATATTTTATTCTTTTTTATAACTTTTTTTATTTATTTTTAACTTTTTTTTCCCCATTTAATTTTATTCCAAGCCCCTGTGTGATAGTTTTGGGGTGACAGGCTCCTTTTATGGAACCTGCTCTCCAACACAGAACAAATGTTCTGTGCAGTTCATGACAGCTGAGACAGGTGGCGCTGTCATTACAGCAGGGGCGTCCCGAGGCTGGGTGACACCCGGAGCGGTAACCCGAGTGTCACCACGCGTGTGCGCGACAACGTCATCGCGCACACGCGGCAGTCTTCTGATGGACGCCGGCAGAGAGAGGAGGGGACAGTCACCCGGCGGGATAAGGTATGCCGCCGTGTCCCCTCCTCTCTCCTGATACTGTCGGACGTTCGGTCCATGACCGAGCGCCCGAGTTTTCAGAGGGGGGTGACACCAAAAGGACTGTAAGTCATTTTGGTGTCACCCCACCAATGGTGTCACCCGGGTGCGGGCCGCACCCCCCGCACCTCCCTTGTGATGCCACTGCATTACAGCACCACGGTCTCACTGATTACACAGAGCAGAGCAAAGAACGGACGTTCTTTGCTCTACTATACACTCTCTATACTGAGCCATTGTGCCGTGGTCCTTGGTCCCCCAGAAGAGCGGGGGTCCCCAAAAACCACGGCGAGTGGCGGAGGCGGACAAGTTTGCCATGCTCGATTGATACAAGTGATCTGATCAGATCACTTGTCTAAAAACGAGCGGCGGCTCCCCGCTGTACATATAGCACTGCTTGTCCGAAGCAGGGCTAAATGTACAAAAAAAACGACTCGCCCGGCGCCCGCAACTACATGTCCCGGGCATCGGGCGATAGGAACTCCATACCCCTGCATGTGTTTTTTTTTTTAGCTTTTTCTGTTTTTATTACATTCATTTAACTCCTTGCGTGGCAGCACGTTGCCGCGAAGTGTAAAGTACAAAAAGTGCGATAAAATGTATTCATGTTACACCCTGTATATGGAATTCATATTCTATGAATATATATAGAAAATAATATTTAAAAAGGTAAGCAGCGATTTTTAATTTTTTTTTTTAACGAAGAACGTCAGCTTTTATAGAAATGAACCCTTGCAGTGGGGCTGCACTGGAAGGGTAAACTGCTTGTTTAGGTCTAGGATCAGTTTTGGTCCTATGGCAGTCACTGCTCACCTCTCTCCCCCTCCACTCTGGTTGTTTTATGTCCCTCACCATCTTCAAGTTGCAGCAGAGCATCCCAGAGGGAGCATGGGAAAGTCCTGTTTCGTAGTTTATAGGTCTCCCAGGTTCCTCTCCTATAGTGATGGGCTCGGGCGTGTTTGCAAGCGCCTCGTGCCGAGCCCGCCAGGAAGCCGTCAGCGGTAGGGCCAATCACAGGCACTGAGACACGTTCCTGGTCCGCAACTGCAGAGATCGGTAAATGTCTCATTGCCTGTGATTGGCCCTGCACGCTGACAGCTTCCTGGCGGGCTCGGCACGAGGCGCTTGCAAACACGCCCGAGCCCATCACTACTCTCCTATACATTTAGGAATTGCTGATCCGGACTCCAGTGCTGGGTTTACTCCTCTCTCCATTGGCAATTTAATCTCACCTGGAACCTGTACTCAGAGCTCTCTGCCTGGGGATCAGACAAGTCCTGTCTGAGAGAGCTGTAAGGTTGGTGAAAACTTGCAGACAAGCGGTAGGCCTGCTCAGCCTGTTAGTAAGGAACTATATCTTTTGTTTGTGAAGTTAGTGCCGGGATACGGCTAAATTTTATTTTGTTGATATCTTGTGAACCACTGTGAATGCTCTTGCAAATATCCCCAATAAACACTGCACTGTTTGCCACTACTCCCCTGGATTTGGTATCTGTCCCCAAGAGACTGCTTATTCCCAGGGGGCTTATGTACCAGCTACCGATTGCCTACTTACAACGTCTATTACACCCGCCAAGATGTGATGACGCATGTCCTTAGACCGCCAGAGTCCGGGGGAGAAGAGGCTGGTGTGAATGGTCCAGCAGCCAAGCGGGGCCGAGGAGTGGGCATTTCTGCTTTATTTTGCCTCCATCGTCCTCTATACGAGTTTCATCTCCCGCTGTACTTTCAGGCCGACGGGAGTCAGCCAACATGTGTCTCGTAGACCTCAATACTGCGGTCACGTCCCCGACCCTCTCCTTGGCTAATCACAAAGCAAAGGACCCCAGTTTGTAATTGGCCAGGAGAGGGTCAGGGATGTGACCACGGAAGTCCTATAGTTTTTGTCTCCCGAGCATGCTGGAAGTACAGCAGGAGCTGTACTTTGCAGTGCGATCGACCGCACCAGAACGTGTGGCACATCAATTCCTGCGTTCTGATGCAGTGCGATCGGAAAAAATAGTGCATGCAGCTTTTATCAGATTGCACTGGACCAGAACGCAGAAATTGATGCGCCACATGTTTGGGTGCGGCGATTGCATGTGTGGCTGCAGTGCCATTGACTTAACAGCACCATCATTCCCCCTCCCATCCCAGAACGCAGGGTGCCGGCCAGGATGCACTCCAGTGCTATCCAGCAGCAAATCGCACTGGAGCTGGTGTGAACTGGCCCTCAGTTGTCCCTCCTTTTGGTCTGATGTACAGATACTGTATCCATGAAAAGTTTAATTACCAAAAGTCTTATTCTGCACTAAAAGTTTAATCTCCTAATTTTGTTGTTTCTCATTATGAAAAAGTCTACTATGAAGGAAAACTAATAGTGAATAAAAACAATTCCGGGTTTACCCATCATTTTTGGCATTTAAATTCTTAATGGTCGGCATAATTGGGGACATGGCAGGGGGTTGGGTGTCCATTACCTCAATACATTGTGCTAGAAGGTGTCCCTCTTCCTCAGCTCAGAGGTATATACTATGCACCAGAATAGCTCAGAAGACTTCTATCACTGCAGGCCAGCCAGTGAGATTTCCAGACAGCCATGTGGTGGAAAATGTGATGCAACAAAAGAATGCAGGATAGCAGTATACGGTAAATCCCGTCTATTTTATATAAGAATGATTTTGACATTTTTATAACCGTGTATCAGTTGCGAGTAGTCCATTCTGAGGTGCAGGAATCAGAGTAAGGGCCCATTCACACCAAATCGTTGCATTAGCATACCTTATCACACAGCACACATAGCATGCATTACTGTGCCCTAGGTGCGTTGTGTTGCCATTCAATTGGGCCTTTATTCTAACTATCTGTTCTTAATCTTTATGTATTGATTCTGCCAGGGACTCTTCTCTTGTCCTATATGCTGGGGAAAATTCTCAGTATATGATCTTATT